ACCAAGATATGTATAAAAAATGTACTTCACTGGTCCAATAACGTTCCAAATTTACAGTGAAGACCTTACAATAATATTTATTTGGCAGATTATTTATACCCATTATACCATAGATCACACGATGGAATTTTCGTATCGCCAGAATGGACGAAAAGGTGTCGTACATCTGAAAACAACGCGTCAGTTGACGGATCGAGATTGGCATTTGATAACGATTGAGCAGACTCTAAACACAGTAAGGTTTAGTGTCGACATGGAAAATGAAGTAGTCATGCTTAAAGAAGGAGAGAAGGTGAAAGCGTATGACGGACCTTTTCTTCTTGGTGGATCTTTGAGGTAAGTGTACATGATAGACCGCAGTGGCGTATGCGCGGGGCCATCCCAAGTCCCTCCTCACCGTCCAAAACACAAGTACAGTATTTAAAATCACCTCCTATCACCTTATTTTGCGACCTGGTGTCCCCTCACTTAATCATCGAGCCCCTCCCCCCTCCCCTCTCCACAGTCTTCCCCTCCCATTTCAAGACTACTGGTACGCACGCTGTTGATGACAACGTAAACGTACCAAAAATCACGTGTTTGTGGGAGAAGCGCGTATTACTGACTAGTCAGCTGATAAGTTTTTACACTACGGAAAGATCCCTTGATTATGTACAGCACTCATTAAGGTAATGCGGGACTAGGACACCCTATAATTATTTGAATCGAGGTAATTTCATACTGCTGTGTCAAAAATTAATAAATCGTCTTTTTTTTTGAATAATTTCCTCTTTTTAGTACTGAGGTTATGGATGACCCTAATGTGCAAGGCGTGGTGGGATGCATTGCTGGTTTAATAATAAACAACCGGGTGAAGTATCTCGCTGATATTTACACCATCCAACAGTGAGTACTCATTTATTATATAGAACTTTCTATCTCTTTTTTAAAAACACATTTTAAACCAGCGGGTTAACCGCTCGTCATACTTGGGACCATAAAACTAATTCATTAGTATTATTATATTACCACTGCTTAAAACAAAATTATTATTATTATTACTATTACTATAAATATTTAGGAGTGTTGTACGAGAGGGAATGGCTGTCGGATGTAGCACCTTATGTCATGAGAACACGTGCAAATATGGAGGGCGGTGTATCGAGCGTTTTACGTCATATAAATGCGTGTGTCTTGATCGCGCTACCTCTGGCGAGCATTGTGAAATCAGTGAGATTACGTTTATACTTTATAGTTTAAGTCATTTATGTTAAATAGTTGTTAGATGTTAGAATGAGAACGATTTTGGTGTAGTACAAAAGTGTAGCTAATAACATAATTAAAGATATACTATTATCTATTTTGATTGTTAAAAAAATGTACTATCAGTAAAAATACAGGAAAATACCTAAACAAATATTTGAATAGCTCATTTAAAAGAATCAAATAAATTCCAAGCTTATACACATCTAGATGTGTATAAGAGACAGTGATAGACCGCAGTGGCGTATGCGCGGGGCCATCCCAAGTCCCTCCTCACCGTCCAAAACACAAGTACAGTATTTAAAATCACCTCCTATCACCTTATTTTGCGACCTGGTGTCCCCTCACTTAATCATCGAGCCCCTCCCCCCTCCCCTCTCCACAGTCTTCCCCTCCCATTTCAAGACTACTGGTACGCACGCTGTTGATGACAACGTAAACGTACCAAAAATCACGTGTTTGTGGGAGAAGCGCGTATTACTGACTAGTCAGCTGATAAGTTTTTACACTACGGAAAGATCCCTTGATTATGTACAGCACTCATTAAGGTAATGCGGGACTAGGACACCCTATAATTATTTGAATCGAGGTAATTTCATACTGCTGTGTCAAAAATTAATAAATCGTCTTTTTTTTTGAATAATTTCCTCTTTTTAGTACTGAGGTTATGGATGACCCTAATGTGCAAGGCGTGGTGGGATGCATTGCTGGTTTAATAATAAACAACCGGGTGAAGTATCTCGCGGATATTTACACCATCCAACAGTGAGTACTCATTTATTATATAGAACTTTCTATCTCTTTTTTAAAAACACATTTTAAACCAGCGGGTTAACCGCTCATCATAATTGGGACCATAAAACTAATTCATTAGTATTATTATATTACCACTGCTTAAAACAAAATTATTATTATTATTATTACTATAAATATTTAGGAGTGTTGTACGAGAGGGAATGGCTGTCGGATGTAGCACCTTATGTCATGAGAACACGTGCAAATATGGAGGGCGGTGTATCGAGCGTTTTACGTCATATAAATGCGTGTGTCTTGATCGCGCTACCTCTGGCGAGCATTGTGAAATCAGTGAGATTACGTTTATACTTTATAGTTTAAGTCATTTATGTTAAATAGTTGTTAGATGTTAGAATGAGAACGATTTTGGTGTAGTACAAAAGTGTAGCCAATAACATAATTAAAGATATACTATTATCTATTTTGATTGTTAAAAAAATGTACTATCAGTAAAAATACAGGAAAATACCTAAACAAAAATTTGAATAGCTCATTTAAAAGAATCAAATAAATTCCAAGCTAACAACGTTATAAGAACGCTATAATAACGTTTGGTGATAAGATAATTATAACCTAATTTTCAAAACGTTTGGACGATCTTACAACGTTGTTTTGAACGTTATTTTGTGACATACTTAACCACAACGTTCGCGAACGTTATAAGAACGTTTTGTGTTTGCTGGGTTATCTATAGCTTCCCACCAAGAAACAAAAACTATTGGGTGGTGAATATTGTTACAGTAAAATGTCTGTAGATGAACGAAAACTATTTCGGTCTATTAGAATAACTTTTTCTCATTTTAACAATAGATGATTTTAAATGAATATCTTTTCATTTCGTACACTGTGACTATAATGATAATGTTGTAAGCTTTCCAGAAGGAAATACTGTACCTACCTGAGTATTGACCTAACAAACTCGTCCATCTTCACGTCTAGTTTTTTCGTTGGTTTTCGGACACTAAGTTCAAACGCCCTTTTGCTGTACGCAGAAGACAACTTCAGTAACTTTGTTTCCTTGGAGATTAGTCATGATCAATTGAAAATGACGTGGAATTCCAACCGAGTAATTAGGAACATCATATTAAAAAGCGAAGGTAATTAGACTACTTCAGATTTTGTAATACAACTAAGAATGTATTTTTCCCCCCTTTTTTCTCTCTATTTGGGTGTACACTAGCCGATACTCGCTTTAGTCGTTTTGAGGTTCGAACAGGATGGACAATGTTTTATAAAGCTATGATACAGAATGACCGACAGCCATCAGAGTTTTCTCAAACTATATTTTTCTAAGTCTTTGTTTCGTTAACCATTGAATAATATCTGAATTTTCACTTCAAGTGTCATATATTAATTTTCTTCATATAAAAACCAAGGTAATTCCATGTAGTGTTGTAGTTTAAGCACATTAGATATAAACAATATAGCATATAATGTGGCATAAGCCTATGGTTTTGTTATACATTTAACCCCCCAGTGCGAGAATTCTCGGACGGTGATTGGTTGGAAGTTTCAGTGGAGAGGGACGAACAAAGGGTGAGTTTGATTGTAGGCGATGAAAAGGCGACAACACTAGCTCCACGTGGACTTCTTGACCAGTTCTACAGTGATCCGTTTTTGCAGGGTATTGATAAGTTTCGTAAAATGTAGCCCTTCGATGTTCGAGGTCTACATTTAGGCCTATAGGCCGTTACTGGAATGGGAAAGCATCATTTTGCATTTCCCAACAAAAATGTATTGAACAATAGTGTAACGAAGAGGCCCAAGATACCTACTACCGTGAGAGCCACGTGGACCCAGTGGTACAGGGCGAATTTCCCTTATGGTGCGGCACACCAGACTTTAGCCAGTGAGAGCTTATAATAATAATAATAATAATAATAATAATAATAATAATAATAATAATAATAATAATAATAATAATAATAATAATAATAATAATAATAATACAAATAATAATATGAGTATTATGCCACTGGTATTAAACTTAATTATTCCATTCACTTGCATTTATTGTAGTTATCTGATGCAAACACATTTTATTTCCGTTTTTTTTTTCTTAATTTTTCAGCAAAACCTTCTGTGCCCAATGCATTTGTAAAGCTGTATGTTGGCGGTAAGCCCAACTCCAAGGTGAATGCTTTAAAGGGATGCATTCGAGGGCTGGTCATAGCTAATAAACCAATCAGATTACAGGGAAGTTATAAACCAATCGATAAAATCAGGTATTATATATTTTTGCGGTTTAGCGTTTCGTAGATTAGAATGATTAATTATGGACTTTTATGTTACACAATATCACAACATTTTTTTTTAACCTTCTCAACATCATGTGTTTATACATAGCCTACTTAGACTTCCCCAACTAGATATTATGCCACAACAAACAAAACCAAACGTATTAATAATATAAAATTATACTGTGCAGTATTAATAATAACATATCGTTATTTCTAACGACGAGGTATCAGAATCACAATTGTTAATAACCCGTAAATTGGTGCAAAAACCAATATACATTCAATGCCACAGCATCCTATCATTTACAGTCTTAGTTGATGAGAGGCAAATATAGGTAAAGTCTAGTTTCCATAAAATCGCTACACTGTCACTATAGTGTTTTCACTGCATAACAATGCTTAGCTGTCCCCGACGCAATCAGTAATGCTCTCTGATTCGACTGACTAATAGCAGAGTATAAATAGAACAAGAGAGCAAAGTCCCGTTCGTAAAAACGTCACGCCAGAGCCGTAGATAGAGAGAGTTTGGCCAACTTGGCGCATGGGCGCCATGTTGTCACCAAACAGTGTGCGCGCGTATAGCTTTATAACATTTTATAAAACACTGATGCTGCATAAACTTTCTTTCATTATTCTGTTATGAGGACAATTCAATTATGGGATTTTAACATATCATTGTAAATATCATATATAATCATATTTACCTAACTTTGGAATTAATTAATCAATGACGTGCTGTATTATTTCGAGAAGATAAAGTGAGGACGATTCTTTATTTTTTCC